AGTAGAATCAATACGAGAATATAAAAGTTACAAGAGATGTAAAAATTTATATTCAATACAATAAGATATATTCTTGAATTAGAAATATAAATATTCTTTTGCTTGTAATACTTCATTAAAAAGTTGTTCATGTGCTTTGATGTCTTTGGTTGGTTTAGATTCAGTTTGATATAATTCGTACGTCTTATATACTTGTTGGAGGATATAAGGATTTCTCTTTAAAGGACTTTAGCACAAATCACTTTATTTTTCAATTGATATATATATATATATATATATATATATATATATTATCTTCAATTGGTCATCTAAGTTAATCAAAATCTCACTCTTTGCTACATCATTACTCAATATTAATAAGTTGCTCTACTTTTAGACATTTTTATTTCATAGTTGGATTACATCAATGATCAGCTTTAAGACCGTATATTTTTTTTTTGCTTTAGTTATGGATGCTCTTGCAGGACATTTATAGGAGGATGTACCTTAGTGTATCATTTTTGTTGATGATATCTTTCTTTTCGATAAAACTAGAGAAAGAGTTCAGGAAAAACTTTAATTATAGAGGTCTACATTGGAATCTAAAGGCCTTCATTTGAGTATATCTAAAACTAAACACATGAAATATAATTTTAGTAGTAGTAGATCTAGTAGTAGAGTTGTAAATATAAATGATCAAATCATTAAAAGGTGTGAACATTTTAGATGTCTCGGGTCTATTGTTTAAATTGATGGTGATATAGATGGGGAAGCTATATGGGGAAGCTATTAGTAGAACTATTAGTAGAATTCAAGTTGGTTAGTTGAAGTGGCGGAATGCTTTGAGCATATTCTGTGATAAAAAGGTATTGCTTAGACTTAAACAAAAAATTTCTAATATGGTTGTGAGACCTGCAATGTTTTATGGAATAAAATGTTGGCCTCTAAAAGAGAAGCATAAAGTTAAGTGTTGCTGAGATGAGAATGCTTGGGTTCATGAGTGGTTTGACATTTAAGAGACGAAATGTGAAATGAATGTATCCGTGAAAGGGTTGGTGTAGCTCCAGTGGAAGACAAGATTAGAAAGAGTCTTCTTAGATGGTTTGGTCATAATAAACACATGCTATTTCATGATCCAGTTAAGAGTAGTTGTTTTAGATTCGACTTATGTGATGAGAGGTAGAGGCAGACCTAAATAGACTTGGGCATATGGTATAAGAAAATTATATTAATTTACTAGAATTAAATGAAAATATGATACTCAAAAGGACAGAATGGAGATAAATGATTCATGTAGTGGCACTTAGTGGGATAAATGCTTGTTGTTGTTCTATTTGGAAAGATAAGGATATGATTATTTTTAGAGCCTTAATTACATGTGTGATAGTTCTAACAAATTGCTATCAATATGATTCATCAAACAAAGATTTTGAGAAAGCTTCATCTATTATTTGTGATGAACTAGAGCTTATCTATTTCTAAACTCTCTTGTAAGCCCATTAACAAAATAAATTACAAGTAAATCAATCTTCGGTAAATGATGCTTAGCTAAGTGACTTATAAATCTATCAAAGTATCATAAATATTTACTTATTTATAAAGCCTAATTTGTTCACATAATCAATCCTTCTATTCACCAAAGTATAAACTCTATAATTTAAGTTTATTTGTTGTGTTGGCTCACATTGATCTAGTTTCACTTGAAGCACTTCACTAAAAATCCAAAAAAAAAAAAAAACTTATTTATCATCTTTTATATTTTAAAAAATGACATAACATAACATAACACTCCCCAAATCTAAATTGCATTGTTATTTAAATGAAACTCTAAGTTGAGCACTAAATACACAATCTGACATGCAAAGTGTATGACCTTGCCTTTCCATATATGAAGTTCTTCGATGTAAGTTCAACCCTCTTTTAAAAAGTAAACTGCACCCATAAGTAGTTTCTTGTCCAAAAACATACTTATGGAATAAGCTGCTAAAACTATTGCAATTGATGAAATTGTTGTACCCATGGGAATGCGTCCATTATCTTTCCTGAGGAATGAAGCTTCGAAAATGGGAAGGTTTATGAGAACCAATGACCCACTAAGCAAGAATTGCAAAAACAGCGAGCTTAAAGCTCCACCTGCTTCATATATTATCACTCTTCCAATTCCTCCAACAAAGCAAAAGAGGTTGAGCATTGCTATTGTAGACAATATTGTAAACATTGGTGAAGTGGACCCAAACTCTATGATCTCTTTCTCATATCTCTTGGATGCCTCTTCATCAACCACCTTTGGCGTAATAACAAAGGCTAGATTTCTTATACCTATTAGCTTGAGAATTGTGTCCGCCAATGCGAAAAGGTATGAAGTTGTTCTCTTATATAACCATATTCTTTGTTCATTCCACCAAGCCTTCAATGTGTCACCATGAATTAGTGACTCCCACAAGCTAATAATATAACTTAATGCAATCACAAATGCAAATGGAATGAACCAAAAGCTGAATACCTACATTTAAAAAGAGAATATAAATTAGCATCATATTTTGTTTGATAATGCTTTTTACTTATTTGAAAGGAAAAAAAATGTTGTCGAAAAAGTTCGTGTAACAAAAAATTTGTTGTTTGTAAATGTTGTATTTAAAACAAAGTCTTAATGCCAAAAGAGAAACATAATAAATGAACGAACGTAAAGAGATTCAAAGGGAGAGGTGTACACACATTAGGGAATAAGAAAATTTCATTATGGAGGCAAATAGCAGGGATGATAACATAGATGAGGACTGGAATAGAGTTGATAGCCCATAAGCAATAGATGCTATATCCCATTTGAAGGCCAAGTTTTGTTCTTCCAAAGCCATAAAGGAAGGGACAATACTTTGAGAAGAAAATCTGAAGGTCACCTTCAGACCATCTCTTATGCTGTATCAGAACTTGGGGGAGTGTTGTAGGAGCAACGCCGAGGAAAGCCTCTCTTTTTGGATTAAAGTATACTTTGAAGGTCACCTTCAGACCATCTCTTATGTTGTATCAAAACTTGGGGGAGTGTTGTAGGAGCAACACCGAGGAAAGCCTCTCTTTTTGGATTAAAGTATACTGATTTCCAACCCCGACATTGAATTGCAAATCCAGTGATCACATCTTCTGTTGGACATCCATATTTCATACCCATCTGCACTCAAAACACATTTAGCTTGAGGCATTTAGAAGGAGATTATGATACATTTAGATCAATGTATTATTTACACATCTAATGGTTTATTACCCATAATTTCAAGCAAAAGAAGTAATAATAACCAAGAAAAAATATTTTTGAAAATAATTAGAATGATTTTGACAAGAAAAACTTGTGCTTGAAGGAGTACAAAACTTGAACTCGTGAATACAGGCAACTAAATGATTGAAAAAAAAATGTGTGTATACAAACCTCTTTTCCCCATTGGGTGTTCTCTTCATAGGAACAAGTTGCAAGAATCTTTGTTCTTTCCTCTAAAGTGCTAATACTTGCTTCTGTAATATGTGGTATTTCGCCTTTCAGCTCAATATTACTTAGTTCACTATATATTCTCCCATTCAGACAATCTCTTCTATGGAAACAACATGAACCTATGAAAAGTGGACCTCCTTGGCCATCTAGCCCTGGAAAATCCACCTTTTTTCAAGTAACACATTTGACAAAAAAAAGGTTTTAGCGAAAGAGCAAAAAATATAATTGACATATTTAAAAGGTCTTAGCGAAAGAGCAAAAAATATAATTGACATATTTAAATAGTACAAAAAAAATCATATTCTTTATTAATATCCATTTTATAGTGCTCTCTAATCTGAACTTAAGAAAATGCAATTTCTAATTTTCATTTTCCTTCATAGCAAATATAAATTCCTTAAGCTCTTAAGCTCTTACAAATGTTAAAACCCACCTGTTGAATGATGCGCAAGGAACTTGAATACAAGTCATGCTTGGTGGTGTTTTTATAGGTTTGAGGAAATTGCACAAAAGCATACTTGTGGCCTCTTTGTTCATCCATGAAGAAGCACAAAGCATCTCTGATTGATCCAACATTATTAGCATACATATCACAGTCAATAGTAAGAATGATTGGCCCATTACTTATCTTTGCAGAGACTCTTAACTGCATGTTTAATAATTATCTGGTTAGACATGGATGAAAATCTAGCAAAAAAGAAAAAAAATAAAAACTATTGTTTTAAAATATTTCAATATGTAATTACTATAAAGATGAGGAAAGCAATGTTCTTCTATTTATATTTTCAAAGCTACAAGTATTAAGTTGGTTTCAAAAAACAAGTGCATGTAAAGATCATACCAATGCATTCAGAGCCCCAGCTTTAAAATTATGATGATATGTTGGACGTTTTTCACGAGCCATATAAATGACTGTAGGCATTGCAAATCCATCAGAGTCTCGAGAATTTTGATCTCTTCCATCAATTAATATCTAAAAAAAGAAAAAAAGAGATTATTTTAAAAGTTACTAACTCCATTCATTCTTGATACTTTTTATTCTTCAATATTACTTTACTACTTTCAAATTTATATAAAGCTTTAAATGTCTTCCATACCTTGACAATGGCTTGGTGATCTTTAGAAGTTATTTTGGAGCTCCATTCTGAAAAGCCTTCATGCTCTGCCTTAATCTCTTTTGAAATGTCACCAATTTTTATAGCATTTTCAATCCGACTCTCCATATCTTTGTACAATTTCTACACCAGCAAAAAGATTCAGAGATAAAATAAAGTGTTGTGAATATTTTGGCACCAGCAAAATTTTGAAGTAAATTAAGAAAGCCTACTTCCATAGCAGTCCATTCTGAAAAACTCGGATCAAGTTCTGTGATTGATGATTTTGAGAAGAACAAAGAAGGTGACATGGGTTGGACATTGAACTTCTTACAGAAAGGAATCCAAGATTTTGCAAATCTTGATGCCTCAAGTAGGGCATAGAATGTGAAGATTGAACCACCATCATCAGATAGATAAACAGTCAGTTTCTCTGGTGGGTAGTCATACGCCAATACTGATAGAACTGTGTTAATAACTAATCTTGGGGGTTCTATGATGGGATCAGCAGTGCATATGAAAACATCTACACTAGGAAGTTTGTCTTCATACCTGTGAAATTGATATTTAAAACATAATTATTAATTTAGATAGAACGATGAAGAAATGATTTAAATTTTTCATGTTTAAAAACTTTTTTTAATGATAACTATACTTGCATTAAGTTATTGATAAAAAAAGCTAATATCAATTATTAGATCATCAAACTGAAGATGCTGCCAACTTTGGCTTCATATGAGATATTTAGCTTTACATAACATTTAAGTCAAAATAATAAACAGAAATTGAATATTGAGCTATGATAGTCAAGCGGTAAATACACCATAACGTTACATGCATCTTGAAATGGGCAACACTAATAAAAGAACTTATCACAAATTTTATGGTACCAAATACAATTAGAGAAAGAAAAAGAATGTCACACTAGAAAATTATATGCATTTTGCAATTAACAAATTTATGATGAATGTTTAGTCACTAATATGTCAAAAAAATATGTTGATTGAATAATTGCCACATTTTTTAGATGGACTTGCAAAAAACCAATGTGGTTTTGGGACAAAAAATATACAAACATTTTGGTGACAACCTATTATGTCATAACATAGCAAGGCATTTTTTTATGGTTTTGCAAAAATTTCATTATGAACAATACCAACAATAAGTTAATGTGGGATGAAATTGTGATAAAGTTGATCACAAGTTTGACATTTTTTTTATGGTTTTGCAAAAAAATTGCATTATGAACAATACCAACAATGAGTTAATTTGGGATGAAATTGTGATAAAGTTGATCACAAGTTTGTTAGAAATTATTGCAAATTTGATTTTTTATTGCACATTAGTTCCAAATTAGTCACAAACTTGTAGGATCCTTGAATTCATACACACAATATGCCATAGATAAATCATAATACTATATCAAATGTGGAAGTTAGTCACACACCTGTCATTTTTTTCATCACAAATTTAACAAAATCCTACATTATAATTTTACATTCAAATATTTAAAACATAGCTCACAACAATAGTGCCACAACTAACAATATTTTAACAATCATAGACAAAACAACCATAAAACAAGCATAAACTACATTTATAAATATTAGGATTATAAGCACAAACATAATATATAGACTATATCTTCATAAAAACAAACAATTTATAAATTACAAGTTAAATAATTATTTCTAGTCATAGAATACAATAAAAAATAATTATACTTTTTATCACGTCATAGCCTGCACCATCATTATAAACTTCTCCGTTATATAGGCCTTTCTCACGTAGATTATCCTCAACCTGATGAACTATAAATAATATAAAGTAGCTAGAGAATTGATTTTGTTCACCTTGAAAATATTCTACTCCACCTACTCTTGTAGTGCAAGTTGATGATGCAATAGCATTGTGAGTCATTACCCACTATTATTTAACTACATCTTTAAAAAGTAAGTCTGGCTGAAATCAGAGGTGGGTTAAGTAGGTGTAAACTCATAAACTTTATAAGCTAAGTGACAAAGGGTGCTTGGTTGGTGTCTTGATAGGAAGGGAGACTGACTGACTAAGAATATTAGTGTTAGACATTAGTTATTCATAGACATCAAGTGATGCTTAACAAAATAATATTAGAAGTTAAGTAACAATAGATGCTCAATTCACTTAACAGGAGAAAAGATTAGGAGACTAAGAGAACAAGCATCAAACATCGATGTTTAGCATATATTGAAAGCATACCATTGGCAAGCATCATATGATGATTGATATTGATTGGCAAACATAAAGTAATAGTATGTAGTTCAACTGATTATTCTCTTTACAGAAGAGAAGATTAGGTGAGCTAAAGGACATGCTTTGAACATTTGTGATTGATAGATGTTGATTGTTAGTCATTAGTAAACATCAAACATTAGTTAATAAAAAGATTATATATCTAGCAAAGGCAAGTGGTCAACTTAGTCGTTGATGTAGGGCAACGAATAAGACATATGATGAATGTTGATTGCAAATAGATGTTTAAAATATGTGGCTAGTAACATCTAATGCCAATGGCTAAGAGATGATATATGTCGCTTGTCCGCTATCCAAATAAATCATCAATCAATGTTCAATAGAAAAGCTTAAAAGTTGGGGAAAGCGATGCTTGTTTGCTCTCTTGATAAAAGGGGTTACCAAATGTTTGAGAAGAAATATTAACATGTATTGAATGACGAACATTGTATGTTAGCCATTAACACGCATTAGACAATGGCTGATGGAGAATGTTAAACGGCTAACGAGAATGAGTAGTTTAGTTAGTTGTAAGACTGATCAAAGGAGAAATTGGATGATAAAAAATTTTGATTTTACAAGTTAACCGTCGATATATGTCCAATGTTGACCTTTAAAATACATCAGATGATGGTTGATGGAGAACATCGAAAGTCGGTCAGTCAACTTTGGTTATAGTAGCAGAATCTTTCTATAAATGTAGATGTTAGACCAATCTATCTTACCATCTTAGACATCATATTCCTCTCTTTGAAACACATGTTTAGTTAATAAGCATGTAAAGTTACAATCTTTTGTTTCCTCAAATGGCCTCAAAAATTTTTTAACTATGCTTTCAAATGTCTAATTTGGATCATTTTCAAAATCTAAGTTAAAATATTCTCATCAAAATTAAAACATAAAATGTTAAGAAAAAAATAAATTTATTTTAAAAAATATATAAACCCGAACAGTCTAACCCAAGCGCTAGCGCGCATTTTCTGTCCGGACACCTGACGTAGCTCCTACGTGCGGCGCATGTTATTCGTGAGTTATTTTCAAGTTATTTCTGAATTATTTTTAATAATCCCGAAATAACCCAGAAATAACCCAAAAATAAAGACCGCGGGTTATTTCTGGATTATTTGGGATTATTGAAAATAATTCAAGAATAACCTGAAAATAACTCATGAATACCCTTCAACGCATGTAGAGCTACGTCAGGAGTCCGCACAGAAAAATTTTTGCAAGCGCTAAGGCCGAGGAAGAATTAAAAAAACAAATTTATTTTAATAGACACATAAGTCAACAATTTTATTAAAATATCGTAAAAATAAAGGCGGAGACAGGTAATAAGGCCAAGGGAGACAGTAACAAAAATAATAAATAAATAATATAAGTATGCATAAGTTGACAAACGACAAGATCTGCGTTTGATTTGTTTTATTTTATTTATACTTCCGTGTTTGATTTGTTTGGGCGTATCAAAATAATGTTTTTTTTGGAAGATTTACATACAATCAACTCAATTATTAAGTATTTACATATCTACCACCTATCTTTCCTATGATTTCATATTTTTAAAATTTAAATTATTGTATTTTTTATGTGATTGAATGATTTGGATGGTTTAATTATAAAATTAAAATTTAGATATTAGATATGCAAATACATAAGAATTGGGTGGTATGAATGTAATGTAAATGCCGTTAAAACTAATTAAATTAGCTCAATTAGCTAAATGCCTAAATTTCTATATATTAACATATCTAACACCTAAATTACAATTTTTACATAGACATGCTATCTTATCTATTCATAAAAAATGTGTAGTTCACTTTTGAAAGGTTAAAATAATTATATTTTTGGCATAGACAAAAAAGATTAGGGTAATATAAACATAACAAGTAAATTTTAGATGTTTGATATGCAAATAAAATTAAAATGTAATATGATTTGTAGATAATTCAGTACCTTACCTATAAGACAAATTATTGCACATATATAAATAAATTGCAAGTAATATATCTGAAGCATAAAAAATTTATGAAAAAAATTTATGCAGAACAGAAACTATCAATTTTAGCCAACTTAAAAAATACTTTTACTGATCTGAATCAAGGAATTGCAAGTTGGTTATTTTCTCATAACTAAAAAAGCTATAAATATAATACATCAGACTTAAATCTAAGGAATTCTTCCATAACCTTCTTGGTAAGAGGGAGGATAAAGTACCGAATACGCAGTGTTTGATGGATGTCATATAGAGGAGTAAATTTGAGTTTCGATTTGACTCATAATATCTGACTAAACTCTGATCATCCTTTAACGTAAACTGATCCAGATCCAAATCTAATCTAACATATTTAGCTTAGCTTAAGAAGAAAATACGTCAAACAGATTTAACATAAGTTAGATATCTTTATCACATGGGTTGTTCGGACGCAGCTCGTGTTCTGACTTCGGACATAATATTTTCTCATTCATATCAGATCTATGGGAGAGAGGGAGGGAGGGATACCTGTGAGAGAGCCTGTCCTTGAAGGTATAGCGGTAAATGGGGTTCCAACGAACGGAGAGAGTGAGAATCCAGTAGAAGCCGAACCAGAGCTCGGCGGCAAACATGGCCATCCACGCCCACCTCCCCTTCTCTCCGGCCTCAGGCAAGTGCGAGATCCTGTACACCCAAATCATGAGCAGTCCCAGTAGCATTGACCCCACGTACAGCCACCACCACGCCCTTCTCCTCCCCTCTTTCATCTCAAACAGACCACCTTCCATTCTCTTAATCTCTCTTCGTTCCTCTCTGTAATTACTCTGTACCCCTTCTCCCCCTCTCCAGGAGTTTATAAGGTGCTTCGGACTATATGTTGCTGTACATGGCGGGGTGGAATGCCGGGCTGAGAGGGAAGGGTGGAATGCCGGGTTGAGAGGGAAAAAATATAGATGGCCACTTGACACATGATATCCTATCATTCAACTAAGTTAAAATTTAAGTAAATGTTCGAGCCATTAATTATATTCTCTAAATTCATAATCATATGCCTACGGATCAATTTCGAGTTCGAAAAAAATCGATTCATAATTTTGGCTCGAAGCTCGGCTTAATTTTTTTTATCTGATCTCGCTCCTAACTGAAATTAGAGCTAATGTTAGAGCGATTAACGATCTTTGAGAGTCCTAGCTGAGAGGGTCAAGTCTGTGAAATTGGTCCTGGGTAAATTTAAATTTAACTAATGATTAGATCAAAGAAAATCTTAACAGCTGGAAAATTTTAATCCGAACTGGTAAATCTTTAATTGTTTAAGTGTAGTTAAAATTAATTAGTGTGATGGTTAGCCAACTTTCATTAGGTACTTGACAGCTGACAAATAATTAACGATTAAATGATATCATTTTGTAAGTTAAAATTTTCATTACTTATAAATAATATATTTAAATTATATCCGACGAAAAATTAAAATAAAACAAATGACATGATTATGATGATGATAATCTAGTTTTAATTTTTTTAATTATACATAAAAAATTTGATCCCGAGCAGAACTGAAGGTCTAAATAAAACAAATTTAGCTGAGAGGGTCAAATTTGTGAAACAGGACCCGGGTAAATTTAAATTTGAAAAATGATTAGATCGAAGAAAATCTCATCAGCGGGAAAATTTTTATCCGAATTGGTAAATTATTAATAGTTTACGTAGTTAAAAATAATTAGTCTTTTTTCTGTGATGATTATTCAACTTTCATTAGGTATTTGACAGATGACAAATATTACTAATTAAATGATATCATTTAGTAAATTAAAATTTTCATTACTTATAAGTAATATATTTAAATTATATCCGTAATGTATAAAAAAATTAGAATAAAACAAATGACATGATTTTGATGATTATAATCCGCTTTTAAATTTTTTTAACTGGACATAAAAATGTGATCCAAAGCTGAACTGTCGGTCTAGAAGGAAAGAGTACGACAAAGGAGGGCCAAGGGAACGATGACCATATGAACCGCTTATGTGACCGATTAAAGTTGACCATGCCATGGCCAGTGAGACCAAAACCGATCGAACCACTATGCTGACCAAAAACGAGTAAACGAAACAAGAACTAACTATTTAGACAAAAACAAGACAAAGGAATATCCGAGCTAACTATCACATGAGAGTCGATCTAAGGAATATCCAATTCCCAACATCTACAATTATCTCAGAGATATCCAAAGGGCCCTCATCTGGGTCAAGGATCAAGAGTCGAGCTAAGAGTGTCAAAAATTGACCTGACACACTAACATGACTCAAAAAATTCGGATTATGGTTGACCCAAATATTTTTTTGAGTCGAATTCGGGTTGAACCTGAAAACCCAAACATGACTCGATTAAGCATAAAAGTTCGGTCTGGGTTCAGGTTAGAGGGTCAAGCTCAGGTTTAGGTCTTAATTTTCGACCTGTTTATTATACGGGTCATGTTCGGATTAACCCTATTCGAGTCGGGTCATTCTCGGATCGGACTCGAACCCAACTGTCTAACCCGAATTGACACCTCTAAGCTGGGCCATATGAACCAACCAACTCAAGTTGACTAAGCTTTGCCGACCAAGCTGTTCTCATCAAGTCGAGTGGAACTTAGCCGACCGAGCTAATCTTGTTTACCATAAGCTAATTAAGCCTATATAGTACAACCCTCTTTAAAGCAAGGACAAAAATGTACCTAAATCACATTGTACCCTATAAATAAGGATATCTTTTATGAATAAAACATGATGTGTTATTGTTCATTATTGTTTCTCCACTCTCTTTACATATAATCTATTTCTTAAGTGTGATTCACGGTCAAATCAAAATTTAACATCTTAAAATGTGTGGCAAATGTTGATCATGCCACAAATAAGAAGTGAAAGTAACCCAGGGAAAAGAAACCCACAACAAAGACACCTACAACATGGAGTTCGTCGTAATGTTTGTAAGTCAATAAATCAAGGAGTTGGGGGATTATAAGTTAGATGTGACCCGAGACGCTCTGACTCGTGGATGAGATCTACACCCTCAAGAGGAAGGGTCAACACCCAATGAACAAAGAGTAATGTCAAACCTACAAAGAAAAGATGACTCATAGTACTTTAATTGTGTTAGGTAGGCACCGATTGATCGATGTTAGTTCGAGTGTATTGAGATGCCCTGATAACCTTAGAATGGGTTCTCTCGGCAAATCTCTGAGACCAAACCTTCGAAGATACTTAAGATCCCGACACTGGAGTCCTACAAGGGGAGAACATATCTGATAGAGCACATATCCTTGTTTGAGTCTACCGTGTATTTGCTAAGGATCACTGATGCATTGAAATATCATCTCTTTTTTAACATGATGAGGGATTCAGCTCTGAAGGTATGATTTGGTAGAGATTCTCTACTCCCTTGCTTTAATTGTATTTTGTCGTTGTTGTTCCAACCTTTCATAGAATAAAAGACTAGTCTTTGAGGGAAAGTGTGCTAAACTCGGAATTTGTTTAGGTGCTACGTTTTCTTATTTTTATTTCAATTTTGGTTTATGTTTTTGAAGTTATTTTTGGGGGAGTTCATCCTCTTATTTTGCTTCTGAAGTACGGGGATTCATGGAGGTGGGTTTTGGAAAGTTTGGAAAATTCTCTATTGAGGAGTAAACAAGCAACAAAAGTCTGTTTTATTGTTTTTGTTGAGTCATTTTAAAGTTCTATATGTGTTTCTTAGGAGGACGAAGAATTTGAAAGAAGCTAGCCATTCAAGTTTGTTTTCTTGGTTTTTTTTAGTATAGGTTTTTTGAGGAGAAAGAAGAAATTGAAAGAAGCTAGCCAATGAAGTTTGTTTTCTTCATTTTGTTGAAGCATTCTAAAATGTCTAGAAGTGAAGAGACAAAAAATTTAGTAGATGAACATGATAAGGTCCACTCATGTTATATTGTCATATAAGTTCTTATAAGTTCTATAAAGTTCTATACAGTGCATGGACTTCTTATCATATCCTTAGCTCATTTACTTTATAACATTTCCCCTCCATTAAATTTTCATTGTTTTTCACAAATGCTATTAATAGGAAATGTAAGGTACAACCAATGGTGAAGTAACTATTTATCTTCTAATAAAAAAATAGATATAACTGAATTTCGCTCAACTAATCTTTTATTACGATGAATCTGATGATTTAATATAAGATGTCAAGTGTAAAGACATCTGATACCCTTTCAATTTGAAATCATGATAATTGTGTGGTTTGTATGAACCCCCCTTCATTTTTTATGTGATTTTCTTACATGTTTTATTGCAAGATTGGTAGAAGGAACTTTAAATTGCTAGATTAACATTTGAATCATATATATGTCTGCTAATTACACTAGCAAATGGGCAATACAAGAGACAACACATCATCCGCTACATGGGAAAAAGAGAGATCAAATATTTTTTGTGATATATGTTTAAAATAAATTAACTTAGGAGATAAACCAACAACACATTTCAACAAAGAAGATTGACATAACAATACAAAAAAATTTTCAAGAGAGAACCGGAAGAGCATATGGTCATACTCAATTAAAGAATAAATGAGAAAAATTAAAAAAAATTGAAAATTTTTGAAAGAACTCAAAAGAGAATCTACTGGACATGGTTGGTATCAAACTAAAATGTTCATAGATGCGTCAAGAGATTGGTATAAGGAGAAACTGGAGGTCTGATCAATTTTTACACATTTGTATTTCTACTTCATTTACACTTATAATTTTTATACATAACTTTTTCTTTCGATTTTATCACTGACATGTTATTCCAAATGCTAAGAAATTTAAGTTTGGTGGAATCGAACTTAAACTAGAAGATAAGCTTGACCTTATGTTCGGTGGCATTGTTGTTAATGGTGATATTTCTTTGACTCTGCAAGGTTTGCAAGAGCCTAGAGAGAGCCCACTTGATCATATTCAAATATCACCGCATGAAAGAAATGAACATAGCATATCTAGTTGTGTTTGGACCCCTGCTTCTTTAAAGGCAAGGATGGTTCAAATTAAAAAAAAATATAAAATCCTATGCATCTGAGAACTCGAATATCAGAGCTAGTTACAACATGAACAAACTTATCATCTGAGGCCAAAACTGCACATCTGTCTTTGTCCATTCCTGGTGTAATAAAAATATTAGAGTAGACACAATAAGTCTATGAAGATATTCCCTTATGTATCTACTCATTGAAGCTAATTGAGGATCTTAAAAAGAGGGATGTTTTCGCGTCCATGGAAATTGAGAGGAGGGTTAATTACTTGCGATTCTTCGACAAAAATTGCAATGATTGAGTAATTTTATCCTATGTCTTTTGAGTGGAACAGACTTGATATTTTTGTCTGTAACTACTTTTGAGGTGTATTTTTTGGGAGAATAAATGTTTGTGATATTAGTTGTGTTTGTGATGTATGTTAGCGGAACTATTATTTATAATTTGAGACCCTTTAATATTTTATGTTGACACACTGTGATACTTCATTAATACTTGTGATCTTGTTCTCTGAAATACTGATTGCGAAAAAGATTTTTTGTAATAATATTAAAAATTTTACAGCTATGAATCCCAATGATAGAGCACGTTGAGCGCATTGCCAAAAAAATAAATCCATAATTGTATGTATGCTTATGGAGTATTACGAATCATACATCTCTCGCAGTCCATGTATGATGTCGGGTGGGTAAATGAATTGCTTCTGGGTCATCCAATGAGATTCCATAATATGTTTCGTATGAGTCAAGTAATCTTTATTGATCTTTTGAACAGATTGAACAATAGTGATGATCTTCATGGCTCATCTAGAATGACTTCAAAGGAGGTATTAGCCACAACCCTTTACATTTTATCACATAATGAATCTATAAGATCAGCTTGTGAGAGGTTTCAACACTCATCTAAAACCATCAATAGAT